AGTCTCCTGCAATCCGTGATACCGGGTGGACAACTGGCGGCGGTCTGACAATTGGATCCGACAAATGCTTGATTCGAGCTGGACTGTTATTTTCGCTTTGCATCTCGTGATTGTGGGTGCTTTGGTCGATACTCTGTGCCTCACTGATGCTGAGGCCGTCATCTTCATCTTCAGCATCACTAGAGTGAACCAGGTCCTGGGTGTTGACTTGTTCGGACGACAGCGTTTTGGCTAGTTCCGTCTGTCTTTGCGGCCTGCCGATAACACATAATGGGAAGCGCATTTCAGGTTCCGCGGCAGGCCTTCTGCGGGCTTCCATGACGGCAGCACTGGGAGGCGGAAGTAGCATCCAGGCAGCTTCGGCTCTTGTAGCAGGTAGCTGAGATACAACTGGAGGATGTAGGTCATTCACTTCGGGATGCCTTACTCGATTGTAGTCATATCGCTCACTCTCATTTGTGGGCGCACGCTTCCGTCGATACGCCGAAAGTTCTCCCACCTCTTCTTGCTCCTCGAGATCCTCGTGATGCATTCCTGAAGTCGCCCGATTCCACATTCTCGTCACTCTCTCTGTGAACCCAGCTAAAATCTCATCCTCTCGGTCATATCTTTTCCAATTCCATTTTGGCGGATGGAGTGTCGTGCGGAGAGAGTCTTTCAGGTTCTCCATTGCACTAGACAGCCTTCTTTCTCGTGGTGGTCTCTCCTGAAACGAAGCAGACTTGGCACAGCTTGAGTCCACATCCTCAACCTCATCCGTAGAAGATGTCCTTATTGACGACTCAGGAGGCGAGTCTGTGAGCTGAGCGGATGGTCTTGCAGACGACTTTGCCGGCTGAGGGCTCGATTCTGGTGTTTCAGGAGACGAGGGAGCAGCATCCGAGCTGGGTGTCTCTTCGTACACTTTCTTTTGCAGCTTCTGCAGCAGCGTGTCTTTTTTCCAGCCTTTTGGTGGTCCGGGCCCAAGCATTAATTCTTCTGCCCATGCTTCATTTGTCTGAAACGGCCCAGGCTGCGTGACAATGCCTGGTTGAGTGACGACAATTTCAGCTTTTGCTTGTGCTTGCTCTTTCGCCTCCCTCCTCCTTTTCCGCCGGTGTCTATAGCCGAGACAGGGCGAGCAAGAGACATAGTAGAAGACTGCAGACTGGACTCCCCGAAGGAACCAATTGCCCGGTTCGGCGGTGTAGGGAGCAGGCGCCATAGTCAGCGTTGAGCATACAGGGCTCTCCTTAATTTGACGGGTTGAGGTCGTCTTCGCCGACCCATGGTACCGTTTGCGGTGACTGCAAACAGCAAGGAGCCTGCGGTGTTGGTGGGCAGAGGGGTTGAGCTGGAATCAGCAGTGCACGGCAAGTGCGAAGGAAGCCGTGCAAGAATTCCACATCAGTTCATCAGTCAAATCACTCCTCGATCTGCAGACACGGTGACGACGTGGTGGAGGCAGTGCTTCTGATTGACAGTTTCATAGGCGACGTGGCCAGCCAATAACACAATGACAACAAGGACAAGCAAGACAAGTTGAGGCAAATACACGTGATAGGTTAAGATTGAACCCGAAGATTAGCCGGCCAAAGATCTTCTCTCGTTCCCTGGTTGAAGCTGCTTTGTTTGTTTGTGATCTTTATTTTTAACTGCTTTCTTCTTCAGTGTGGTTGATGAGAACCTCCAAGACCCACTGTTCAATATACTTGAATCGGAGCATGAGATCTGTAGAGACGCTATCTAATAGTAACTTCTTATTGTTGCCAGACACAGTGCATCGATTCGACCGCTTCAGGGACTGAAAGGACGCGCATCAACGAGGTGCAGAGTGGTCCCAGAGTTGAAGGAGGAGCAGTGCGTCAATCAAAGATGGCCCTGTTATTATCATGGATATCTAGGACACACAAAGCTCCCTAGTTTTAGTCGTGACCCTTTCTGAACATGAACAAAGGTTGACCCACTCTAGCTTACGGCCAAGAAGCCTCCCTCTGGCTTTTCTTCCTCTCTTCGGCATTTCAGCGTTTCGGCGTTTTGGATCCTGAAACCTGGATTTGTGCTGACACATCCCTCGAATCGAAGAATTTGACATCTGTCCTCAAAGGGAGGGGCATCTGCAACAGGTAGGAGTGGTCTTAGAGACCATAATTAGCGTAGAACAAAGCGCGAAGTCCTATCTCAGCATATTTCTTCTTGTATAGACGAAGACGTGTCATCCAGTCACATTATGGCCGATATCACCCTGTAGAGTAATCATCATCTCATGCACAGCAATGGACAATGGCGTTGATTTCCTCTCCCCGAATCGATCCCCCAACCCTGTCAGGATCTGGTCAATGATTGGCTTCAAGGAGCATCTGGTGTCTCTGGACAAGCAATGATTGACATCGTACAAGGGTTTTCCTTGCCGACGATCCCCTCACCGTAACTATTTGTGTGGCTTTCGGTCTCATATTGCTTGCAGCCAAGCTAGGGATATTGCTGTTGGTCAACTGAGCAGGGAGATCCTCTTCGATCCTTCCTGAACCTTGACAGAGTTGTCTCAAGGAAGAATGTATTCCAGCTTGTGTGTATGAGTGACAATATCTCTGAGCCTGTGAAAAGGTCCAGAGATGGAGTATGCCAATAGGATCAGAGAACCCCATCCGTGAAAGGAGTAAATTTGTTCAGCGAATACGAGATCTCCCTTCAAAGTCTTTTAGATCTTCGATCAGAGGCGCTATAATGTTCTAAAAGACAAGAAGTTGAAATTCGTCGTCGTCCGCTGTTGAGTTCCTGGTCTCCGACCGGAAAAGGCATTTTTTCACTGCGTCGCCGTAGCGGAAGCCACTCTCGGAGTAGACCCGATCTAACACTCGGGAGACGGTAATTGCTTCTACGACATCTTCGCCTTCTGGTATCCGTAAGGCTGATATAGTCTGGCATAGGGACAACTCAACTAAGACCAGTCCCAGTGGGAACAGTCCTTCGCTTCGGATGAGCGCATTGGTCATCATCCCAGTAGTCGACTCTGCCGTCGCCGGTCTACTTAGCTCATGCCCAGAGAGATAGAGATGGTCAACGAAGAATTTCCTACTGCTGTTGGGCTTTGGAAACAGGATATCCCGGCTTCGCCAATAACTCTTCAGCCAATTTCCATGAAACTAGAGGACGCTGGACGCGAGGGTTGCTGCCAAAAATAACCGGTCACGTCAGCTGAAGAGGAAGGCTCGGTGAGCGTCATGCGCTCCATCGGGATGTGAGGACAAGCTCATCAGGTCTTCTAGTGACTGGGATTCGACGATATCCTCGTGCTTCTCCATCAAATAGAAGCAGTACCTGCAACTACCATCACTTTCAGAGATTGGCCCGAGATAGTCTTTTAGTTCACCAGTGGTACCAAGTAGCAGCGAACAAAAGTCGGATACGGGGAGAATTGGTGGGACATTCGGGTCTTCAGGCCAAGGACGGCTCTGCAGCGTTGTCGTTGCGTTCGGAGCCGCAATCCGGATCTTTCTCTCAACCGCTGGCCGTTAACCAGCAGCACATTGAGAAGTTGAAGCTGCCTTCTGTGGTACAGTGGTTGCGCTGAGCAGAACTGGTACTGTTTCAACTTGCCCCTATCACCACATTCTCATGGCCTTTGAGTGACCTATTGTCGTAGAGAACGCCATTCGAAGCCGGGGCATAATTAGGCTCAGGTCGTGATCATCGTGATTTTCCCGGACATGCGGCTCAATTCGAAGGTGTACACGGTGTGAATCTTTACATGAGCATTTCCAATATTTACCGCACATCATCGTGCTGGAAAGATTGCCCGCCTGATTTCTCGCTGCTCTGTACCGCAAAAGTGGATTTTGGGATATCCGATGCTTATGTCGACTCTCCTGACGATGGTCCGATTGGTCTATGAGAGTTTTGAGCAAGGCATTGGCGCTGTCGATCTTATTGAGCAAATCCATATACACGGATTTGGAGAAGATGTCTTTAAACTTCTTTATCTCTCATTCGACAGTACCGCCCTCACCCCACGATATCTAATAAGCGAAAGACCGAAAGTCAGTGCGCTAGATCTATGAGAGAACCATCACCAAAGGAATGGTTAAGAGTATCCAACACGGGGACCACGCATGGCCGAAAACCCGCTGGTCTAAGTAGCACCCTACCTTTAATGGATCCGCAGATTCAAGCCCTAGTTTCCTTGACAGAATTCCAACAAAGTCGAAGCTCGGTCATGGTTCTATTAAAGGCACCGAAGTTTCGGTCGAGTTTTTTGACTGGCTTGTTCTGCAAGCGCGGATCCTTCCAAAGCGGCCCCTGTGGGTTGCCGATAAGCTCTGATATTTCATCATCGCAGTCGACAAGGCCTTCGAGAGACTGTTCCAACGTGTTTAGCAAGATAGCATGTTGAGCCCCAAGCCTTGTGGAGTGCTCTTCGAACTAGCGGCGGCATCGCCTTGTTCGAAAACCCTTCAGAGATTAATCCCTTGCACATATGAATCGAGCTGGTTCACAATCAGGGGAAGAATTGCAAGGACAATGCCGGTCGTTTCAACCCCGATTACTATCGCCGCTTCCGCAGTGTCAGAGAGACGAAGACGCAACCTTCGACAACCGGGTCTGCAGGAGCAGCAAAGAGGTCAGAGCAGAGGCGGCGCTCGCAGTGGTGCGGCTTAAAGCGATTGACGATTGACGATTGAGGAGACCCCACTCACACCCCATCACCCCACTTCATTCTGAGCCAATAGAGCCGCATCAGAAGTTCGTCTCTGCCGTTCAGCCTGATCAGAGTCCAAGCGCCATTGTTGCCGTGGACAAGATTAGCATATGATTGCTTCCTACTTCCTATTGAAATCGATCAATTGAGGAAGGGTGACGAGACCCTTCAAGTCATTACAGCTCCTACCACTCGACCACGGAGCTGACAATTTCACCACTTACCTAGTTGAAGACGACACGGGCGTTCCTCTGGTGGGATTTTCTACAGTAATCAGTTGGTTATCGAGACTGAGCACCAAGCGACTTAAACTACATTCACCATGACATCGTCCATCTCGGCTGCGGTCGTTGATTGTCTCAAATCTTTTGACAGACTGATGATGCGCGCCGAGTTGGCTGCACACGCGAATGATGGTCATAGAGATTCATGGGCTTATCAACACGGAAGGCTGCAAATCTGGGCCGGAAATATCGGCGCTCATCAAACAGGAAATTTGGCTCTAGACTATCCGCCGAGAGATGCGTCCCATGGCAGGACTCAAACGATCAAGCTCCTCGAACGGCTTCGTCGAACGCTCGAAGATGCTGATGATTTCCTGACCGAAGGCGAGGAAAAATATGAAAATATATTGGCTGATGATGGACAGGAGACAGAGCTACAGCAGATATATTGTGGTCTTGTCAACACCATTGATTACCTCTTCCAATTGAGTATGATCATCTGCAGGCCTGCCGCTCACGATAGGCTCCTAGGGACCAAGTGGCTAGATGCGGTCGTCTTTGAAAGTTTTGATCGCGACCATGCAGCCAATAAGTATCTGAACGCCAGCAAAATCGTTATTGATGGGTTAGGAACTGCTATATCACAACGGAGAGGTGTACTCAAGTATCGAGAAAGACATCGCAGCAAACTCGGAAAAGGTATCGAGCATGTAGTTAATACTTGGGGCGATGGAGAAGAAAATAGTGATGCTGTGTCTGTTGACCTCTCAGAAACTATCGCGACCAATTTCAAAGAGCCTCATATCGACTTTGAGGAGACAGCGTCAAACTCAGGGGCTTCTCAGACCTCCTATACTCCAAGTCTTCTGGACAGCAGTGACAAGATTACTGTTCCCTACCCACCAAAAGAATCCTCCAGCGGGAAGCCTTTCGAGTGCCCATACTGTTTCTCCTTTACCACAGTCTCGAATAGGCGATCGTGGATCCGACATGTTTTTAGGGATTTGATGCTCTATGTTTGTGTCTTTCATGGTTGTTCGGCCCGGGAGAGACTTTACGAGAGTCGACGCGAATGGTTTCAACACTTACGGATAAGGCGCATCCCATCGATTGACCCAGATAAACTCAAGACTGTCCGTTAAACTGCGGAGCTGATGTGCCAGCTGTTCTACTTGAAAAACACCTAGGTCGCCACTTGGAAGATCTAGCCTTGTTTGTCCTTCCGAAGAAAATTTGAACCGTTAACAGGGATCCCTTGTTGCGACCGAAGAGTTGGATCAAGCAGACAGCAATTCTTCCGATGAAGAGATATCCGGTCCGAATCTGAGGCCTGGACTCAACTTTCTCGACTCATTCGCACATGGTGCCCGTATTGACACTAGTGGCTCTGGTCTCACGGGGGAAGCCATAAAGGAGCACTCTGCAGAGTTAAAAAGACAAGAGTCAGGGGCTGGGTACCGGCAGAGTCAAAAGTGGGACAACGGCAGTGACTCCGATGATAACGATGACGAGCTTTAGCCCATCCACTTCTTTGTTCCCGGCGAAAACATTAGCGCCTCAGTCTTAGTAGACTACGTTACAAGATACCTCGACCCTGCCGTAGAGATAACAACGGCTCGCCATCCATTCGTAAGGCAATGGACATATCTTCGGCTCATGCTGACCTTTGGTGGGATAAAACGCGAACAGGCTTGAGCATCCTAGTAAAAAGAGCGTTGAATGCCGTAAGGCCCTCTCTATCGATTATCGGTTCATGACTGAACTTCTCCCTTGCGTCTAGGCTAGCATTCGCGATCTCATCAATGATGCAAAGACGGGGATCTGGAAATGCAAAGTAGTACGCTAGTTCATGTCTAGACACTGTAACAGAGCACTTCTGTGTTCGATGTGTACGTTCAACAACGCACAGGCCTATTCAGCAGGTCGGGAATTGAGAACGCGATTCTGGTTGACTCTGACAGGGCAACACCACCACCAACACCACCCCCAGAGAGGCAGCAGCTCGGGCAGCGAGCGCCTAGCACGGCGACGACATTGAGAAGTAGGAACGGGCCGATGAAACACTCAGGAATAGGTAGACGGCATCAAAAGCATGGAATACTGATACTCTGTCTAAAATGTAAAGAATGGCACTCATACAGCACTGTAAACTGTCTCGCACTCCCCCCTACCAGTCCGTTTTGGTTTGACATGTGACTAGACAACTCTTCCCCCTGCTACCACTCTTCCAGCCCAGCCCAGCACAGCCACTTTGCCTTGTTACAATACAATTTATACTGGAGCTGATGGTTTTCCAGGGGAGTATACAAAAGATCCTAATCAATATAGAGACTCGGATACTACCCGACGCCGACAGAAAAAGGGTCCTTCCGATGGCAGTACTCCTCGACCCCAGCGGCCTCGAGGAAAAGGAGAAGAACCTTCTGGTGGGCCCCAGCAGGAGAGAGATGCAAACCTACCAAGTACAAGGGGTGGCTAAAATCAGCTTCAACCACCAGTACAGCCGGTCCCGATATGTTCGACTCACTGACAAATCGATATCAGGCCTGGGGATAAGGACCAGCGGATTCTAAATGGGGGTGGCAATGTACACCTAGTGCTCAACACCGTCGACCTCCGGCTTATAACCAATCGAGCCGGAGATCTGGTCGCTAGATCTGCCCATAGTAGAAGAAGTGATTATTATATCACATAGGGTGTTGATGTTAGGGACTAAGGACATATGGAGTGGGACTCGGAAATATCTGGCCTGTTTACTCATAAGAGAAACGCATTCAAGAATCTTCACTCACTTGTGATCAACGATGTTGACAGGAACCAATAACTTTCTTTGGTCTTACCACGGCGGCAGCCCCTTTGCGGCCGCCTGTACCTTCCATCACTGCCTCCATGTTGGCAGATCCAGACTGTCGGAATATCCTTTATAGTCCAGTACCGGTTGGGCCCTCTTCGGGGCGAGGGCCGGTAGTGGCTCTGGACTGGACATCGTCAACCTCGCTCGTCATCACAATCAAGGCCACTATAACCCGGCCCAGACAACCTGGAAACAACGAAATGGCAAGATATGGATGGCTTGAAAGTTGAAGACGGGATTTGCGATTCGACCGATAGGGCGGGCAAGGTTCGTCAGATGGCGCTCTCCTAGATTTTCGGTCCGAGCTTCGAGAGGATTCACGTCCACATCCAGTTGGTCGATCAGCACCGCTTTTACGACATTGGTAAAATTTGAGGACCTTTCGGTACCGCTAGGGCTGCCACGATGGTTCCTTCAGGGCCGCTAGACTAGGACTTTGTCGTTAACTGCAGATGGAGAGATACTGTAGTTAGAGTCTTGTGGAGGGGTTGGAGCTTTTGATGGATTCTGACTCTTGCAACGACTCATTTGCGCCACCGCACAGTTGTACGGCCATGCATACTCTCTCGTGCGCTTTGTCCATCTTCACTTGAACTTTGAGGTCTCACATTATCCTTCACACTTCGACATGCATTCTAGTCCTACACTACTGCGCTTTAGATGACCTGAAACGGAAATTTGTTCCTTCTCCATAAAAGCAGAAAAGGAAAAGCAATGCAAGCATTATTCTTTGTTCTGATTCAATAGCCTCCTGTCTCTCGTCGAACTGAATTCGAGACGGGTTTGAGCGACACTTCGTCTGATGGCCCTGGGATTCTAAGATAACGGAGAATAATACAAAGCGACTTGCTCAACACGTACAAAGTCCAAATCTACCACCTGACTCCCAGGCTATGCAATGCAAAGTCCAGCCAACAAGTCTTCATACAAGTATGAAATCACCGCGTCCTTCGATGGACTAATCATCAACTTAGCTTCTGGAACTCTGAATCGAAGTCCAATCCCGCCTGCTCCGGCTCTGCCCATACATCATGTTCCTCCGTCAACGTTGCCAGACCCGGATGGTACGCCTCAGGCTGGTAATTTAGCTCAAGCTGTGGTGCAGATTGATATGCAATTGGCCTGGGGATTTCATGTGCCGGCTCCGCACCACCTTCGTAATACACGATCTGGTAGCTGGGATCCAGTTGTCCGAGACGAGGGTCGAGAATGTCGTGCTGAACGGGTACCACCATCGGCTGAGGCGCAGGATACGTTGTCAACAGCTCCGGGTGCTCGGCGTGCGGCATCCCTACTAGGCCCATTGCGGTTTGGTACTGAGGGAACGGCTCATCCAGCCGCCGATAGGTGATATCCGACACTTGCTCGTACGGTCCCATAGCGGTTGCAGGCTGATAATAGTCGCCAACCATGCCGTTGGAGCTGACCATTATCTGAGCAGGTGCGTACGGATTGCTCATCTCATATCCCGACAAGTGATGGTGCTGTGGTGGTATCACCCGGTGGTATACAGATGGCCTGTCATCGAATGGCGTCGAGGATGCACTTCTGCTCTCGAAGCGACGGGTGCTGCGACTGCGCTTAGAGCCCTTGACCGAGCCTTCCCATTCCGGATCGCTGTCACTGACGTCGTCACCATTTCTTACCCTCTTCCCTGCCTTGTTTGGTGCGAATTTGTAGTTGGGATGGGCAGCAGCATGGTTGTCACGTTCAATGATGGCATATCGCTCGTACAGATCTCTGACCTCCTTCGGTTCCAGAGGCCAGCTTGCGCCTGTCACCTGTGAGACAACCTGGTGGTTGTTCTCCTTGCAAAATTGCTTCACTCGCTCCGCATACGCAGATCGATATAACATGAACGAGTTCATCGGCCTGGAAATATATCCTTTCCTTCTTTCAACCTCTGCGAGTCGCTCTTCGACCGGACGATTCACCCATAGTCCCATATCACGGACAGGTGTCTTATAATCCTTTGTGAGGATGCTGAGTGGTTGGTCGACCGCAGGTCCTCCCTTTTTGTTGCTGGCTTTCTTTCTCAGATTTTTACGTGACTTTGGTGACAGTGAAGCACGTGATGATTCAGTACCTGCAGGGCTCGACGGGGTACCGATTGTACGACCGCTGCGCGTCAAGATGCCGATATTTTGAGGAGGAGTGTGAGATGGAACGGATCTAGCCATGGTCTATTTTGGTCAGTGTGTCGCGTTGGCGAGCTGTGGACTCCAAACTTACTTGTTGCAGCGTGGAGTAGATCGGGGCGGGGGCTGTGTGATAAAGGGATGGGTCGCCATAAGGATCCTGCACGAGGTGAGCATCTGCCTACCATGTTTGTGCTGTGATTAACTTACGTATGTTTCGTGCGAGATAATCTCTGGTATGATTGATGCTTGAGGCATTGGCGGTGTGAAGGGCTCTGGCTTCACAATAACTGGTGCGCTTGATCTGCTATCGTCGCCTTGGATGTAATGGCCATCGGCTGAATGAGGAGGTGATGGGGGGCGTCTAGTGACAGAGTGTTGGGCCATTCGTGCGGTAAGTCGTTCCAATTGCAAACGGAATTGTGCAAGCTGATATGAAGTTGAACGTGACCTTTTGCCCTTGTTGTCACACCCAAATAATCAAGCACCGAGATATCTTGCCGACTGGAGCGAATGACAACTATATGGGATAGAAAGGGTTTGATCTGTCTCCTGACTGTTTGGGGCATTCGCTTTATTATCTGAGTCGATGTTCCAGATTTTGTATCGAGCTGACAGCACCATCCAATACAAGTCTTAGGCTTGTCAGATTTGCTATCTGTCGCCCTCCGTTGGAGTACGAAGCCGTACAATGGAGGAAGCGCTTTATCCCAACGGCACTGCTTTGACGGCAAAAACAATTGCTGAAAGACCTCCGTTGTCCTTGGTGAGACTAGGTTGCAGATGCAGATCCGTCTTTATGAATTGTCGCAGCAACCCGTCGTTTGAACGGGAAGAGGATTAAAAAGGGGTTTGCGGTGTTCAAAGAGTAAGTGTCGGTATGCTGCAGTATAGTTGGAGTGTGATACTTGCGGTGAGGAGGAAGGCAGCCTTCCCAGACTGACTTGGATGACGCCAGAAGCAGTTGGGTTTGTCTCAATTACCCGCGGGATGATGGATAGCAATCTCAACACCGAGACACTGACTGCCAGCGAAACGAGGATCTTTGTTGATACAAGAAAAAAGGGAGGAGAAAGACTCTGAGAAGTGAACATATCAATCAATAGGCAAGAGTCTCGGCCATGTTGCTCTGGGAGCGACGATGGTCGCTTTCAGCTGCAGCTGTTGCCGCATCCGGAAACATGGCGAAAATGTCGCTTTCTGACAACGGTTCCTTTTGTTTTCGGTTCGATGAAAGCAAAGGGAAAGGAAAATGGGTAACTCCACGGGCTGCCTCATCCATGCAACCAGAGTACCAGGAGTCGTGAGCGGTGAAAGGAGTAGCCTGGTCCTAGGAGCTCTCCTTGGGTCTCTCCATGAAGCGCATCCGGTCTCTCCAGCCTTCAGAGGACCTCGGGAATTTCCCTTGAACACACAGGTCCATCTACCAATCATGTCGAGAGCTTATATTGACTTAGACAAGGTCAAATCGAATAAGCAGCTTTTCAAGAGCCTTGTTCTTTGAGAGAGGAAGTCGATGAGAATCA